GCTGTAGCTCATCCTGAAGTTCTTCTGCTTGCCGGATTTCCAAGTCCTCCGGCGTGATAGGAGATTGGCTGACTCGCACATGACCAATCTGGCTAGTGACCGCCTGAGCACCACTCTGACTGACTCCTGACGAAGTGGGCTGTGTAGAGGATTGCGTCATAGATGAGGTAGCCATGGCTGTACTGATGCTAGCTGTAATTCTAGCTCTAGTACTGTCCTCAGCTGCCCTCGCTCTTGCCGCTGCCCTCTCTCTCGCCTCTCTCCTCAATCTTCTCTCGTCTCCTGGACCTAACTCCAGGAATGTCAAGGGTCGACTGCGGGCAGTCGTGAGTAGTCCTACGGTCGTCCACTAGTAGCTCCTCCTCGCTTGTGCTTGCATCACTCATGAGCTACAGTGTGTGTGATCTAAACTAGAACCCACACTGAATCCTACCTTAGCTTGACACACAACCGATTATGAAACACAACTACTTTCGGTCGGATGGGACAAAACAGTTGGGTGATATAGTTACAACTAATGTCAGGTCCTACAGGATATATTACCTCTATTTTTAGATTACCCTGTAACAGATTGCGATACAGCAAAGATCTAATCTATCTGTAGCTGTCTGTCAGTTGTCAGCAAGTCCGCAACAACTAGATAATCAAAACAAATAATATCTCCTGTTGGAGATGTATGCTTGATGGCAGATTGTCTGTTGATTGCCACTGCGAACAGTTACCGGAATCCCCCCTCCCCCTGTATCCTTCTTGAGTAATCACTTTGTGTCAACGTCCCTGAGCATCTGGTTGAGCAGCGTGTCTAACGGTGTGCAATCCGGTCCCACCCCTGTGCCTCAAGTCATCGTCGAGCAAGGCAGCCACAACACTCTTATTTACCCTCGTACGCCGACGAGCCTTACACCCGGTTGATCTGGCTGATCAGGAGGATTATTAAGAGCGCCCCCATCTCTTCAGGAATTATTTAACGTCGCAGTCAGGACGACGATCACAGCCAGATTCAATCCGAGTCCCCAACCAGAAATATTTATAGACGGTCTGGTGGAGCGTCTCATAGAGGCTGCCATGCCCGAGTTGACCCCTATTTGCGCAAGCAGCAGAACAAGGACTTGCGGTCCAAGCATGCGTGTACTAGTCCCAGCGGGTTGGCATGGTGACCGTGACCCGAGTGCTTCGTCCAGGGCCCTTCAGAGTCTTCACCCGTCTCCCACCAGCTTGCTGCCCAGGAAGAATGTCGACTCTCAAGGTTGAGCGCTCGCGACACCTCACATCGAGAGGACTCTCAAGACAGAACTCACTTCCTCACGGTAAGAAGAGATGAAGAGGGTAGATAAGGAAGAGAGCAACGTACCTCATAAATGCTGCCCCCAACCACAGATTTCTCACCGGTAACCTGATGTGCAATTATGATGACCGGTCTTTGCTTCGGCACAACCAACAGCAGAATGCGGTTCCACCTCAGCTTAATATGTCACATCAGCAAGTTCTCATCATCCACATACATCCCGTATGTCACCACATAGCTCCCTGGCGCGCCCACACAACCCTGGGCCGCCTAATGTTCAACGCCAATGCCGTATCACTGCCCCACACCTCATGCGAAGCACCAATAGCTATTGCGAAGAACTAATGAAGCGCAATATGAACCAGATCCGATACCAAATTGCAAGGAAAATAAGCAACAGCGAGATGACAATCCCAGATCACACCATCACATTGCAAGTCAAATAGTCACACCGTGTCCAGATAGCAGCATTGCACCAATAATACACCAATGGAGTTTCGTAGCACTGAAAACCAATGATTATGGAGAGCACACTCTCTCCTCTTCAACACAAGTATCCAGTTCCCTTACACTCACACTTGGCGCTCAGCGCCCAGCCTACTTCTACACAGCTACTACAGA